GCGTCAACAGCATCTACCACACTCGCACACATTAACAAACCAGACACTTTTCTCGCCATGCAAACATGTGTAATGGCCGTGCGTGTTTCTCTGTATTCGTTTATGTGTGGAATTGTGAGACGGTGTGCGTGCGAAGGGCGTATTCCCTTGGCTGCGTGTTAATGCGCTTTATAAATCAGTTGAGTTCGCAGCTTGAATCCGGGCGAAAAAAAGAACGCACGAAATACGAAATGGCCAGCGAAAAAAATACCGGAAATAATGCTAATTACCTTATAATTATTAGGGCATGAGTTCCGTGGGCATGCAAATGTGTGTGTTAAGAGGAAATGTAAACAAATTAAAGCATTTTGACACGGGCAAAGAAATTTATATTGTACGATTTCATAGCATACATTTAGGGGGCAATTAAATATGCACAATTTTAAATTGTTATCGAATTATAATTTATTTTATGGAATTAAGAATGACAGAGGAAATTCTCTAATAATTCTTTTGAAAACTCTCGATGAATTTGCATTATTAGTATTATGAATTTTAAAACGCATTTCATAATGCACTTTAATGTGTATTTAATAGAAAGTTATTGAATTAGAAATTGCATTTATGCAAATTATAAACAAATTAATTGCGTTATTAGCTGAATTTTATGGTGGAAATTAGTAGAACAAGCGCCGAGCTTAATAGAAATTCAAAATATATTAGCAAGGCAAATAATATGGTTGGTTTAGATTAAAATTTAAATATTTAAAGATGAACAAATTGTTGGTTTAAGACTATAAATTATTACAAATTATACTTCATTACATTTCGTATTCAATTATTTATTTAACATTTACTGATTGAATTGCCATACTGAAGCCCAGAAGCCTTAAGGATAATTTCACTTATCCTTGTAGAAGCACAGCCGTTTTTGCCATTGTTTTCAAGCGCTGCAATAAACATTATTCTGCACTCCTTAATAAATGCCAATCCATTAGGCCTGCCAGACACAAAGGACAAAGGCAGGACCTCCGCCAACCGGCAGTGCAACAAAGAACCCTCGTCGGCAGTAAAAACGCCCCAATAGAGCGGCGTAAGGATACATTCAGAGGGAGAAAGAGAGAGGGAAGAGGGAGGGAGTCGACGGGCAGGAATTCGAGCATTGTAATTATATTGCTGGACATCCAAGACATCCAGAAAGTGGCGCACTTACGGCTACAATGCCTTGGGTCGCTCATCAAAATTGCTTTTATGTGTGTGGCCGAAGGAAGCGGCCATAAAATTTATGCCTCGGGCTCTACGTCCCCGCCTTCCATCGCCAGATGTTTCGACTACGTTTGCATAGTTTATTTCATAGGGGCAGTTTATATGTGGATATATATAGAAATGGGGAATTGCTACGTGGACATGGACGAGTGGGCGTGGCTGCCCACTGTACGTGCGGTCATTATTCTTTATTTGTTGCTTGGAGCTCTGTGCCCATTGTTGCTGCAGCTCGTATTATTGTAACGCCTTTTTGACACTACTAATTTTAGTTTTATTTTCTAGGCTTTTCGGAGGAGGCGTGTGAAAGCGTCTACTCCTTTTGGAGGCGTTTCTGGTGGGGTCCTTTAGCTGGATGGTGGCGTTAAGATTAGAAATTAGTTTGGGATTTGTAACTCAGTTATTGGTTTTGATAAATTTAAAGGGAAATTGAATTTTTGTTATTTATTTAAAAGCAATTAGAAAAATTAATTTTTTTGTTTGCTTATTTAATGATTTTTGATATATTTTAAATAAATTAATATTATTAAATTATACTTTTAATTAAATTTGTTAAGGCTTTTATATTCACACATCTTTGAGTGGTCAGCAAATCGTTTTTCATGCTCTTAAGCTTTTAGTAGAACTTCTTCCCCAGGGCAATCAAAGTTAGCATTAGTGAAACTAAAAGTCTGCCATTTTATTATTGCCCGAAATACCCAAGGCTGTCGACTTTTGTTTATGGCCAACAGAATGGAAAGTTATTTACTTATATGCGTTATTTTATGGCCAGCACATGTCTCAGGTCCTAGTGTAATTATGTGTTGATTTGCTTCCCTTACAATCGCCCAACAGCTGGGGGTAGTTGGGCATTAAATTCTTAAATTCTGGGCCCCGAAACCAAATCGCTGGAATATTTGTGTGTCATTTAGTGAATGGCAAAAGGCACGTAATCTCGGCAGCCGGGAATGCTGAGGGTTTCACTCGCCGTCTGGGTAATCCACAAGGAATTTCACAGTTTTTCCAGGCCCCTCACCCTCTCCCATTCCCATCCCCTTCCGCGTTCTAGCTTTTTGTGTGTGCTGGATTATTGTGTATTTTAATGCCACCAAAGCAACACGCGGCTCTTCTGTATTGTTTTCTTTTTTCCCGGATTTTTTGTTTGTTTATTTTTTTGTTGTGCCTTAGATTTTATTCGCTTTTTTTCGCTGTGGTTGTTGGCGCCGCTGTCGACGCATTTGCAGAATGTAGGAACCCGAAAGGTAGACCAAGATAAGCCACCCAGAAGCGGAGGGGACAACAATAACAATGCGTATTGTGTATAGAAAATGACAGCGGCCCAAACAAATAAATTAAAATGCGCGACAGCGCACCAAACAAAGTTTTTCATACTCTTGACAGGTCTGTGGAAAGTGGGGTATATTGATTTGAAGGACTTTTTCGGAGGGACAAGATAAATTAGACATTTTTGGTATGAGTTTTTTCATTAAAAATAAAATACATTTTGAAGAAATTAGTTTAGTTTATTAAATTAAATACACTGTATTTGTTTCTACGTATTTAAGGAAGTATTAATTTTTTTTTTTTAAGAATTTTAGAAGTTTGAAATAATTTGATAGTTACTAAATTACATTAAATGGTATTTATTTGTATTGGAGGTTTTCTTTTACATAGTATTTTCCATGAGTTACTTGATTTCTAACCCAAATCCAGATAGCTTTTCGTACCCTAACATTCCTTTGGGGCTTCGTGACCATTCCATACGACGGCTGCACCCCTGTGGCTGTGTCAATATTTGCCACAAATTGAAATTAGCAGCGCGTTAAGAGCACCTGTACTCCCTTGCATGGTCCTTGCCCGGCATTCCGCATCCTCCACACCGAGTTGCTGATGCCGGGCACATAATCCCCGTAAATTAATATGCTGCACATGTGTCTGGAACCCGGGGACTAACATACCAAACCCCCCATCCTCTGCCTTTCAGCTGAAGGAATACGAACTGAGCGAGGTGTTCAACATTGCCGAGGACGATCGCAAGTACGAGACGGTCCAGACCCAAACGCACCTGGATGCCGAGCACAATCACGTGGAGATGAACAACGAGTTGTCCGCCAGCATCGAACGGGAGCGGCAAACGGAGCAGCAACAGTTGCAGCAGAATGACGACGAGAGGCAGCGAATCCGGTCCCAGCTGCTGGCCAAAATGAATCCCATGTAAGTGCTGCAAATGTGCCATAAGCTAGGAGTAAGAACCAGAAAGAATTCCAATATTGCAGGAATGTAATTTGCAAAAAGAAACTTTTAATAGGGTAAATATCCCACAAAGGTAGCACTAATAAAAGGTTCTGTTTGTTTAGAAAACTTTTTTGCCAATTGCAATTGGCTTCATGCAACATTGTTCTGCAACAAGCTAAGCAAACCAAAAAGAATTAAGTTACTCTTAGGTTTCGGACCACTAAATAGTTTTGAAATTTGCAATGTTTTTAATATTATAAAAAGTTAAACCACTTACACTTAATTGAATAAAAAGTTTACTGTATAAAAAAGTAGCTTTTTCTTAGCGTGCATTAATCGCTGCCTTATTTATAGCACTTGGCTAAATGGCAACATTTTTAAATAAGTTGTAAAGATATGCCGTCAGATTCAGTATAAATTATATATTTATAAAAAATTACCTAAGCGCTACGTTCTTTAAGTTTAAACTAATATTTTTAATTGACTAAAATACTACAGTTCAAGGTTTTTGAACGTCTAGGTCAAATTTTCAGCCTTCCAAATGTGTAAAAAAAAGTTAAGCCAACAATAAACAAAAAAGTGTAAAAAAGTGTTATCTTATAATAATCGAATGACAAAAACAAATGATTAATCAATAGATATGGCCGAGTTTCCTTACCATGTTACCTTTGGGTGACTGTTTAAAATAACGAAGAAGTAGAAAACGTTTTCATTAAACGCCTAGCAAACGTCTTCCACTGTTTTGGGCCAAGAGTAAGCTTTAAATGCCACGTTTCGTATACGTAATCTGTTTTGGAGTGCAGAAAGCGCTTCAATTGGCCCTATTTAACATATGCGTAAAGTGCTTACCCCGTAACTCAAGTCCAACAACTACTTTCAACACTCCCACATTCACATATTTAAAGCAACGTGCCAGGCCCCGAGCTGTTGGAAAAACATTGCGAGTGGGCGAGGGCGAGTGGGTGGAAGGAAAACAGCTTTCTGGCACACTTCAAAGCACATTACACCACTTTGGAGGCGTCATTTTAAGGGAGGGGTTGGGTTCTTTGGTCTAAGGAACTAAAGAACTAAAGAGCCGAAGGAGAGTGGCCCGAGTGGCACGTACCTGGGTAATGCTGCATCTTTAAAAAGCCGCCCTATTCCTGCCTGGGATCCCCGAAAACTCCGTACGGGGAAAACTACAACTAATCCCTGCTAACAGTTCCAGTTCCGAACTCATCCCGCATCCCCATCGCTGTCTATTTTCGTGCCACTTTTGGCCAAAGCTGGTGGAGTGGATTTTGGCACCATTGGCACTGGTAACCTGCATATTTAATGACAATCCCCAGCAGCCCGGGACGTGTTCGAGTGCCAAGAGTGCCAGCAGCGAGTGGGCGTCTTCTTTTCCGCCTTTCTGGCACTCTGACAGCCAGGCTGGAAACAAAGACCCCCAGATATATCAGATCTGTGTGTGTCTGCCAAATACCCGGGCCAGTTTCGAAGTAATTACTATCTTATCGACGGCCGCCGTCGCGGGTGGCCTATAAAAGTAGAGGAATTGCCGGCAATCGGGCAAAGAGTTAAGTGCCAGCAACATGTCCGGAATTCCGCCAGCCACCTTTACGGTAAGCGCAGGCAGTGCAGCCAACAATCAGCGACGCAAGAATCAGCAGAAGAATTCCACCAGTAAGCGAATCACAGTCAAAAATCGATCAAAACATAAACCTCAACAATTTCCAGAGACTACAACTCCCGAAAAGACGACGGGGTCGAAGGCAAATAGTTGCCGCATTGCTTAGATATAGTAACTATCTTATCTGCGCCAAGGATTTAACGCATGAAAATACATTTCCCATGACATAAACAACCGAGTATAAATGGGGCCGAACAAAGCGCTTGGGGTTTCAGTTAATGGGCAAAGCGAAAACGAGACGGAATAATACCAGCGACCAAAATGAAGACGACCATTGTTGAGGAGAGGAGTCGTCTTAACGAGACGATAGAAACGATAGAAACGATAGCCACCAGCAGTAGTGGCACCACCCAGGAGACCATCGAAATAGTGAACATCGATGGGTCTCCAGCCCCAAAACAGCGACACCACCATCACCACCACCGACATCATCATCATCATCACGAAAGGCAGGAGAATGTTGAGGTTGTGCAGACAGAGGAGGTGATTCTTGTAGAGGAGGGTGGATCAAAACCCCGGAAGCACCATCACCACCACCAGAAAAAGACCTCACCGCCACCACCGCTGCCGCAAACCTCACCACCCTTTCTCACACCCACCGAAGAGGTGGGCTTCAATGTGGTCTGGGAACCGCAGGCCTACTGGAACCAGGCCTCGCCCAATCCCTCCACGGATCTGGATCTTTCGCCCGAGAAGGATGTTGTGGATACGGAGGAGATTCTGGACACCACATCAGCCTCGGATGAATTCACAACTGTGGTCTGGCAAACGGAGACAAAGGAATCGATTAGGGAGAGCCTTAAACACACTAGGGTGGTGGAAGAAGAGATCATAATTGATCAATTGGATCCACCACCCTATGCACCACCTCAACTCCAAGTGCAAACGGGATTCTTCCCAGTAGCCCAGCAGCCTCCACTTTCTCCCATCGCAGAGGTGGTGCAGTCAGAGGTTTTTATAGAGTCTTCTCTTCCGCCAACCGGATATATTCCCCGAGTGAGTTTAAATCCAACTGTGGAAACTGTGGTGGAGACTGTTGAAGTTGTGGTTCCTGCTCAGATTCAACAGGAACCGGAATTCATTCCACAACCTGGATTTGTGGCTAGAATTGTGGAGAACATAGAAGTAGCAGCCGCGTCGATTTCCACGCAGGCCCCAGCTCCCAAATCTTACAATCCTAGGCCAGTTTTGGTGGAAGATATCGAAGTTATAACAGAAAATATCCCCATAAACACTGAAATTGTGGAAGTGGAAACCATTGTGGAAAGTATTGACGATTCTCCCTTTCTTCTCCCACCCAATGGATTTGATGCTGATACTGAGTCGATTGAGGAGACCATTGAAGTCTCCACAGAAGTGGATGATTCTCCGTTTCTCTTGCCAGCTGATGGCTTTGACCCTGCGCCAGTTTGTGTGGAATCCATTGTTGAGAATATAGAAGTTATACCACCCGAACCTGTTCTTCAAGTACCAGTACCACAAGTACAAAGTAACATTACTGAAGGTTTCGCAGAGTCTGTTGTAGAAGACATTGAAATCGTTCAAGATGACGATCCTCCCTTCGTTCTTCCAGCTCAAAATGTTTACATTCCTCAGAGGGGGATTGTGGAATCAATTATTGAAAATATAGAAATATCTAAAGAAGTAGAGGTCCCTCCACCGGTACAAAGTACATATCCACCTCAATCTGGATTCGTGGAATCGGTTGTGGAAAGTATGGAAGTAACTGAAGAAGTGGATATTCCCCAACCTGCCGTTTCAATTCAAACAGGCCTAGTAGAATCGATGGTGGAAAACATAGAAGTCGAGGAAGTGGAAGTGGATTCTCCTGTTCAAACTCCAGTTCAATTGCGATCAGGTTTTGTGGAATCGATTGTGGAGAACATAGAAGTCACGGAAGAAGTTGAACCTCCCTTAAGACCACCTCTTCCAATTAGTTATCCCCCTCGATCAGGCCTAGTACAATCGATTGTGGAGAACATAGAAGTAACAGAGGTTAATACTCCCTATCAACCACCGCAACAAATTGATATTATTCCTGAAACAGGTTTTGTTGAGAGCATTGTAGAGGATATTGAAGTTACAAAGCCCGAACAGATAGTTATTCAAAATACCTATGCACCTCGGGGTGGAGTTGTAGAATCAATTGTGGAAGAGATAGAAGTAATACCCAATCCACCACGGCAATCAATAGTAACCACCAATTTTATGCCTCGCGCGAGTTTGGTTCAAGAATTGGTTGTGGAGTCACTGGAAGTAACACCCACATCATCACCTCCACCCGAACAGTTTCCCTTTATCTCCCGGGAAAGCCTAATCGAAGTTGATGACTATGTGGAGGTTGAAGAGATCACACCCTATAATACGGCACAACAAAGTCCCTCGGTGGAAATGGAAAGACTGAGTGATTCAGAGGCTTATGTGGAGATTATTGAAGTCACACCGGTTAATACACCACCCAGAAGTCCAGCACTTCAGGTGACGCCCATTCAAGGGGGATTCCTTCCCAGGCCAAGCTTAGCGGAAACGGCGGTAATTGTGGCTTCACTGGAGGTTACTCCCACGCCCACACCTCCACCCAGTCCACCACTGAAACTTAAGATACCACCATCGAATTTTACACCATCCGAGGTGATTGTAGAGTCCGTGGATGTGACACCAGTTCCATCACCACCTGCCAAAGCACCAGCAAAACCTCTCAATGGTTTCATTCTAACCGATCTGGTCATAGATGATCCACCATTTGTTGAAGTGGTGGAAAGAGAAGTAATTGTCGAGTCGGCCAACAATGGCCAAGTAACTGAGGTTATAGAGGTAACCGAGGAAGTTATACAACCTGCCACACCCATCGGAACTGTGCTGGTGGGTGAGGTGTCCGCGCAGAGTAACGATAAGTCTGGCAAGAGATACTCTGTGAGTGCTGCCCTGGCCGAGGGACAAGAGCAGGGAATCCAGGAGTCGAAGCAGCCACCGCCCATCCAAAAGAGAGATTTACCAGACGAACCACCGAAACGCAAGTGCTGCCAGTGCAAATGCATTATTTCCTAAACCAAAAGGTCAGGGGCTTTCCCCAAGGCAAGTTAAAGCGGGGCCATGAATCAGAAACCTTATCAATAACCGAGTGTTTTTCTCTTATCAGCCTGGGAATGTAAGCTCCACCTATCGCCAATATCTAATCAGCGGAAACAGAAGCCCCCCCGAAAAAAGAACAGAAATCACAGTAATTGATAGTTAATTACCAGCGGACACTCGAGGCAAAAGTGCGCGATAAGAGCCAAACTCAAGAACCCAATTGCTGGTCAGTCGGTCAGTAGTTAGCCAGCGGTCGAAATGCCACCACCAGGACGTGGATACGGAGGACCACCGCCCAGGGGTCCCGGAATCGCCTACGGACCGCCGCCCCCTCGCGTAAATGTCGGCATCAATATCGGCGGACCACCACGTCCTCCGCCAATGGGCGTGGGCATCGGATTCGCACCGCCACCCATTGTGATTGGAGCACCACCGCCGCCGCCAGCCGTGATTATCGGAGCACCACCGCCGCCACCCGTGGTCATGGTGCCGCCACCCAGACCCACCGTTGTGGTGGGCGCCCAGCCACCAGTGGCCACTGTATATGCCCAGCCCCAGGGAGAGGTTTTCTGCTGCACGATTCTCTGATGTCCGATGATTGAAAATGGAAAATAGGAAATGGAAAACTGTGCTACATAGTATTATTAACTACGTTTATACACCCTAAGTTATTAAAATAAAATAGTTTGGATATAATTTATAAAAATGCATTAATTTTGAAAGCAAAGTGTTAAAGTCATTATCAATTTTGTTATTTTTAATTCTGAAAAGAAAATGAAAACTTGTATTCTTAATTAACAAACAGTCAGTCTTTAAACACTTTATTATTTTTATTTTGAAAAGGAAAAAACTTTTAAAGTAGTGTTAAACCATAATTGTATGTGTCCACTGAATGAATAAAAATAAATAGGGGTTCCCTGATGATTTCTCCATTGAGTTCGAGCCAATGCACAGATTAAATAATCATATTGAAGCCTGACAAATTCCAAACAATTGACAGTTTATTAATGCAATGTGAGCAAACCGAATTACTCCATATATTAATAACATTTTCCTGTCGCTTTTCAATTTGCAAATACCAATTTGCCTCGGACCGAAGAGCAATTTTCTCGTCACATGTCCGATAGCTACTGAGTTTCCTGGGCTGCGGAAATGCAAATTGCTTCTAAAACAACATTTACTTAATACATTTTGATGTGCTCATCTAACGGTAATTGCCGTGAACATGATCGAAGCAAATTGTCGCTAATAACTTCCATGTTCCCAGGAAAAGAAAAGTCGGCATGTAAAAGAAAAAAACTCCAGGCGAAACGAAATACGGCAAAAAGGTATTTGAACGAACAAAAAAAAACGAAAAATGCTGTATGTAATTTCAATTTGGGAATTTTCCTCATTATTTTTCCTGGGCCCATGGCGCCCTATGCTCCTCCGCCTGGGTCCTTTAATATTTTTGCCAATTTATTTGCGCTCCCCTCGCCCTTCTGAGTTTCTCGTCAGACTTTCTGTGCTGCTGAGTTCGCCTGTTCGTCTGCCTTTTGATTTTTTATTATTATTTGCGCGATTTTGCACGCGGCATACGCGAGCGGCATGTGTATGCAAATAAACGAAAAAGTGCAGGAAACAAAACACGGAAGTTGCCCAGGAAGGAAGGAAGGCAGGAAGGAAGGAAGCCAGGCAGCGCCACAGCCAAACGTCGTGGATCCGCGACAGCCGGGGAGTTTTGGGAGCCGTGAGTTTTGGGGATTGTGGTTCGCGCGTGGGTCCGCCGAAAGTCCCAGGCTCCAATGGTATAGGGGTCTCCGGTTTCGGGTACCAGGCTTTTTGCGGACTTTTTGGGCTTTTCGGGCTCTCTGTCTGCTGTCAGCCCGCACGAAGGCTGGCAAAAGGCAAATTTAAATTGAAATTTTCCACAGTTGATGTGCTGAAATAACAAACGTGAGCAGGCAGCGTGCACACCTTTGAGAAAGGCAGTGGGACGTATGTGTAATATGTGGCAGTCTTTTAGCGTCGGCAAGTTAAGCTACTAGGGCAAATCAGGAAGGTGGGTTTGGATTTAGCTTCTAAGGAGTGCGCTCTGTAAATAGAACCACTTGTGGAGATTAAGAAAATGTAATTTAAATAATTGTAGCACATTAGTTTCTTTAGAAATTATGACTAGCTAATTTAGGAAGAACATTTAATTCAAAGATACAACAGAAATGAAATTTTTTGTCATAACATCACATAATATTTACTTCAGTTTAGGGAATCAGAATAATAATTTTGTTTTGCATGAACAGATAGCATTTAAACTATAATATATTTGTTATTAATCAAAGGTTTAAAGTAATAACGTAAGTAATATCTATAATACTGTTAATAGGAACTAAGTGAATACTATTAAGTAAACCAAGCAATAATTGTTACAAAAAGATATACAAAATTTAATTAGATAGTTCGATTATCCTCTGCAGACATTTAATTAAATTAATTAATCTTCTGCCTTTCCAGCTACAGCGGCAACAACAACGTGCAGACGGCACCTGGTCAGGTGGTCAGTGTGGTGCCGAAGAACGACAAGCATGCGATCCTGCAGAGCATCGCCAGCAGCTATCGGCGTGCCACAGATGCCGGCAACTTGAACGCCTCCAACCCGACAGCCCAGTCGCAGTCGCCACCACCCGCGGGTGGCAAGATGGCCGGTGGGGCAGGGGCAGGGGGTGGTGTTACCCGCAGGCGGAGCATGGCGCAGCGACGTCGCGACTGCCGCGTGAGCCACTGGTCCGAGTGGACGGCCTGCAGCAAAAGCTGCGGCGTGGGCGAGATGCATCGCTACCGCAAGGTCATCAAGCACGGCAAGAGGGGCGGGCGGCAGTGCCCGGCGCTCCAGCAATCCAAGTGGTGCGGAACCGAGCGCAACTGTCACGGGTCGCAAACCTATTTTAATTGGTGAGTGGATGGGATAATACACACAGAAAAGTTTAACAATTTATGGGATTATTGGATACGATAATATCGAAATTTTATTTAAAGAGTTTAAGCTTAATTTTTAAAATATATTTATGAAAATAATAATTATTAAGTGTTCATCTTGCGCTTATAAAATTTTTGTTGTTTATACAATTTATGAACTGCAATACCTATTAAATTTACTCCAATGGAAGTCAAGACATCAACTTCTCCTAAATAACCTTAATAATATCGACACACTTTTTAATCGAAACCCAAAAAATACTTTTCAGTTTCACTGTAATTAAATTTCAAAACAGCAATTCTATAAAAACTAACATTCAAATTTCCCGTTTCGATTTCAGGTCCGATTCCGACACATGAACGAGCCACACGAAGGAGGCTCTGGCGATATAAATATAATTTTAATTTAAGGCGTAAGAATTGCTTTTTCTGTGTGAACAAGAAAGACCAGCAAGGCCATAAGGAGTGTGGATCATCCCGCAATGAGATTTTAATTTAAATTTAGATTATCAAACAAAATTGATTTTAAAAGCAGCCGGCAAATGCAGAGACATCAATGGAAAATGGAATAAATTCGACGATGGCGACGATGGGGAAGACTACTGACAATATTAAAAACACAAGAAGGATTTAGACACACAGGACAAAAAGGAATGGAGTCATCCGTCTAACATTTTTATGTTTATGTGTTCACTTTGATTTCGATTGACTTTTCGTTGCTTTAGCTCTAAATAATATGTAAAAAATCATCATAAAATATTATACAAGAAAAGAAAAAGAACATTGAACAGTAGACGTACAAAGTTTAGAAGCAAATCAAAGTAAACCAGAGGAAGCGTGAACATTTGCATACCCAAACAAGGAAGAACGGAAACAAAACCAAATGAAAAACCAAACACAACACACTTTAACCTATAAGCGTGGAGCCAAAGTGTGTTGTTCAGCAACTAAGCTAATATTAGATGTAAATTAAGCTAACTAATAACTTTAAATGGATTGCAATAAAAGTCAACCCCAAAAGGAAAACATTCGAATTGGAATTACTTTGAGAAGGCAGAGTTTTTGCGTGAATAGAATCTGATTTCTAGTTGGGCTGTCAATTCTACAGTAAATATATTAAAGGGGGTCAAAATAATTACATCGGTTTGGTGGTCCTTTAAATTTTGCATAACATTTTAGCAATATCAATTTTAACCCCATCCAAAACCAAAGGTGTAACACAAAATCATTTATTAGGAATTTCCAACACGGGCATAACCAAAGAATAACCAGTAAATTAATAAAAGTTGTTTATGTATAAAATGTGAAATTAAGAAGAGCGAAAGATGTTATAAAATAAATCTCAAGTTTGAGGAAGGACAACCAATCCGATTCTTCAATGGGCCTTTCGGTTGCGAAGCTTTATCAACGCAGGCAGGAGTAGTTTGAGAATTCCGGAGGCTACGAGGCACACCCCCGCAAAAATAAAGGCACCGGTATAGTTTCCCGAACTGCCTACTATTTCTCCGGCAATCGTAGTGCCAATAAAAGCGCCGAGCCCCATTGACAAAGCCGTAATCCCAAAGGCATTTGTCAGTTTCGATAGGCCCAGATATTTCACATATATAAGTCCTCGCAGGGTGGAAAATACAGCTGTTAAGTAAATTGAAATAAGAGTATATGATATTAGAAGAGGATTATTTTATGAAGTATTATTTTGTATCGGATGATTTTTCCGATTTTGTGGGACTATTTCTTATTAGTAATAGATTGTGGAACAATCGATAATATGGTTTTGCAGAAAAATATATTCTTCTAAATGTATATATATTAGAGGTGCAAGCATTTTTTTTACAGAAATGTCGTCATTAAAAAACCTGGGTAACCCACCTGGAGCGACTCCATAAGAAATGGCGTACAGAAACTGAAACCAGATCAAGTCCTGGCCATAGAAGGCACTTATAAGGACGGCACATCCACCGAAGACCAGGCCGTAGCCACAGATGTTGGTAGTCCAATTGAGTCGTTTATAAGCCACAAATCCACAGGCGTTACGCAACACAAGCTGGGTAAGACCAATGATGGGTCCAAGGAATCTCGCGTACTCCCTGGGAATCGTGGTACGGGCAAACGAGTAAACGTAGGGAATATTAAAGCCCATCGGAAACAGAAAGGCTGCGGCCACCAGCACCTGGAACTCGAACTTCTTCAGCAGATGATAGTCGAAGAGCTTGACCAGGGTGGCCATAAATACGCTGTCCTTCTTCGGTTTACTCGGGGGCTCTTTGGCCCATCTCTGAGTTCGATGATTGACTCTAGAAGTAGATCGATCCTCATCGTCTCTATGAATTGTTTTTATGCCGTAGTTTACCTGCTGGGTCTGCGGGGGAATTAAGTTAAGTTTGGGGCTTTACTTTAGGATTTCAAATAGAACAGTCACATTTGTATAGAGATAGATCTCCTTGCCCTCGAGGTGCTCTTTGCTGTGAGGCTTTTCGTATTCGGCGGGTCCGGTGTAGAAGAGATCATCCCGCTCCATGGGCGCTGGGCGGATGAGCAGATTGTGGTCCTCCTCCTCCTCATGCTGCTCCTTCTTTTGCCGCTTATCGCAGCACTTGTTCCAACAGGGACAAAATTTGACACAGCCTCGCTTTTTCTGATGCCTAGGCTCATAGGTGCTAAGGACACTCCGACTGCGGCCCGTCTGCGTGGATAGACGCATATAGTCCTGCACATAGAAGTTGCCGTAGTACTCCTCCGAACTGGACTCCATCATCAGGTCGGGATGGTGATACAGGCCCACCTGAGTGGGAGCCACCTCCACATAGGCGATGGCCATCAGCAGGATCAACAGAATGAAGCCCGCCTGCGTGCGGAGCATGTTCCGCCAGCCGATGATCGGCACCAGCCAGCCGTAGAGGAATGTGAAGATGATGACTCCGACGCCGCCGCCGCTGCAGGAGAATCCAGTGGCCATGGGACGATACCGCTCGAAGTAGTAGCCCACAATCAGCTGGGAGCTCGCCCAGATCATGCTCAAAAATATGCCACCTGGGGGATTTTGGAGTTTATACAGAGAATAAAAGAAAAAGTTCTTTAGTTAAAAATGATCAATGATCGTAGATATGATTTAATAACGATTTTCTCAAACGAAGACACAATGTTCTTAAATGAAGAAAAATATGTAATTATGCAAGAACATTTTCGTCATAATTTAAGAACTTTTTTCCGCAAGAAGAATTTTGTTCTCAGTGTTTCAGCTGTGTTCCTACACCTAAAATAAAACTTTATATGAAACTATGATCTATTTTACGTGATATGGTATCAATGTTGACTAGATATGCTCGAAATGAAAACAACAGATCAGTTCGAATTACGAATATGTATTTCTCCCTCCCACTCATGTAACTTTAAGCGCTACTCGCTCTATTTTTAATCTCCGAGAGAAAGAAATCTGTATTCCAAGCTAAAAACGAAATTTACCATGTGCATATCGATTTAACCACGAAGTTTTGTTTTTGCGAACTCTGTTCTCAACTTACCAAGAACGCTATAGAAGCAGATCAGCATGGCCAGGTTGACACTACAGCTGGAGACCATGATGGTGGACGAGGAGCACAGGACACCGGCGATGGCCACCTTGCGGAAACCAAAACGATTTATCAGAATGGCAGCAAAGACTCCGCTCGTGAAGTAGCAGCCAATCTGGACACTGGCCACGAACAGCACGTCTACCATTGTATAGCCCATATCGCTGGCTATATAGGGCAGCAGGAGGCCAATGGTGAAGATCAGGCCATCGACGATCAGCTGGGCGAGGAAGGAGAGCACCATGATCACCCAACCGAAGCCGCCATCCGGGGGTATCACCATGTAGATCTGCGGGTGGAACGAGGTTCGTAACTCAGGATCTCACTGTATCATACTGTTGCCAAGCACTCACTTACAAAAACCATACCAGAGCCCAGTCGTCTGCCGCCGCGGCCCAGGTCGTAGGACTCCTTGGAGTCGCCACTTTCCGTTACCCACACATCGCTCAGCTTCCTCCTTTCCGCATCGTAATCGCTGAACGATCCCGGCGATTCGGTGTCGGCCTGAGGATAACCTATGGTCGCCGTGGACACGGACGCATCCTGTTCAATAATGCTCTTGTCGATGACGTACGAGTCCTCCGAATCATACCTCGGCACCAAGGGGGCTCCTGTATGAGGGCTAAGCGATTAGTCGGAACAATAGGACCGGCGATACCAAGCACGTGCTCGTTATCATTCTTATGTTTACAAACACTTTAAAACAACATGTGTTTCCAAAAAATTACACAAAGATTTGTAGAAATCGTGCGGGTGTACCATATGACCACTAGTGAGTTAATGTCATGTTCATTCTCAATCTTTATTTTCAATAATCGGATATCATTGATAAGCCTACTTTTTGAAACTGATACCATATGGCGAGATGGAATGTACATATAAAGCAGCACTTGCCTAAAGTATAATAGTTGAGCTGAATCAGTCTCTGGGAGTCGACATGGGCTGGCGGACGTGTTTACTAGTGGCGGCGGTGGCCAGTTGTTGGTCAATTGTTCAACTTGCACGAACAGTATATACTCTTACATACAACGAGTACAACGAAACGACGTATTTTCTCTGCTGTTTCTACAACGAATCAACTGCAAACCCGTGGGATATTCGGCTCATGTTTGACAGCAGAACGTTGGAAACAGAGGCCATTAATGATTTTACCATGTGTAACAGCAATTTTAATCAATTCAAAAATTCATGGCTGGAATTCCGCTGTAGTTGGCCGGATAACAACTCAACTAGAGCCACCATCACTGAATCCAGCTTTCTTGAAGTGGATAGGTTTCAATGTAGGTATTCTGATATCACGACAGATCTGCAGTGCACCTACAAACATCGACGTGAAATCTCGACTTCGGCCAAACTGTATTTTTACATGGATCATACAAAACGTGATGATTGCATGCTTGACAAAATAAATAATATCACCAGATGCAACGTAAAGTATCCACATCATTTTCGGGGACTAAGTCATAACTTCACGATTGGACACAGATCCTTTGGCATACAAATGGCACTAGGGGTTCAATTGACCGACAGCCAAATGAAAGTACCGTATTGGCCAACTTCTAAGCCACACATTGAACGGTCAGGCGGAAAGACTTGCGTGGATTTTTCGTTGAACAAATATTACACTTACACATGGAATGTGTCTGTGACGCCACAGGTTTCGTCCAAAATAATTAGTTACTTAGATGCTGGGCTTAAGGAGCCGAAAGATGTGTGCTTTGAGTTCGTGCCCAAACACTTTGGCTCATATTATGTGAAATTTAAGGTCCGATTTAACTACAGCGATGCGCCTTGGACAAGTAGTAATTTTACTGTAAACTTCGAGTTCAAACCGCCGACCTTTATGCCGCACGGATTTCATTACGATTCGATAAAAGTTGAGCTTCGCGTTTACTGGGCGCACGAAGACGACATGCATTTTGACCTATCCGACCTATTTAATTTAGTTACAAATTCTGGGTAAACTCTTTTGCTATGAATTCAAATTTAGGATATTTATTTTTTTTTTGCATTTCAGAGAGCAGCCGCTACTTAAAGGCAACAGCTTTGCAGTCTTCAACGACTGGAAGTCCACTCAGCAGGACACCGTATTCATTCGGAGCAAGGACTTAATGAACGAAAATAACGATGAACTGATTGTGCCAGTTCTAACCAATTATACTAGGCGTCAGCCACGAAACTTGAGATATTTCGAAAGCGGCACTCTGACCTGGGATCCACCAGAGGATGAGACCACGTTGTCCGGCTATTACATCTACTGGTGCCCTGTCCTCAGAAATAGTAACGAATTCTGTGACAAGCAGTTAAAATATTTTTGGAATTCTAGAAATGAAACCACTTATCATTTTAAAGAGCCGTATGGTTCATTAAGAATGGCCGTGTCAGCGGTCTACACTGGAAATTCCAGCGGTGGCATGAAGTGGTACGTAGAACCGGACCCTCCAAAAACGGAACCGACCTTCATTGTTCTCAGTGTTTTGGGCCTAATCTTAGTCGCACTGCTTGTCGTCGCTATCATCTTATTTCCAATATGGAGACGAAGGAAAATTGCAGAATTACCAATAAGCCTGCCACCTATATTCGATCCAGATGTGATGGCCCAATTGAGCCTAAGAAATGTTCACTTTCCCCTAAGTCAGGATCCCCCTGAAGAAATGCCCTCTTCTAACAAATCTCCCCAGGAAGTATTGCAGGATTTCATGGAGACGATACAAATTGTCAAATTGATTACTGACCAATTGGATGGAATTTCTGACCTCCCAGTCGCTGCTTCCTCATCATACACGACAATGGAAGAACTGCCGAAGCCTAAGCCAAGTTTTACGTATTCTTAAGAATAATAAAATAATTTATATTCAACAAACTAATGGTTTAAAATGACGATTTTGATTTTTAAGGAGTGGAATATATAAACCTAACCTAGTATAGTTGAAACACAGACCTCAAACACTCACCCATAAAACCTTTAGAACTTTAGAACCCCGTAGAATGTGCTAGCTCTGAATTCTATCAAATTGAACTCTCAATTCGACAAGGGAACTTACTATGTTTGTAGATCTTTTGCGTTTTGGTGATGAGCGGTTCCTCCCTGTCATATTCCTCCGAATTGCTGGTGGAGGTCACTCTTTCAAGGGATTCAACGGATTCAATGGAGGCAAACTTCAGACCAGAGTTCTGGTCTTCAGATTGATGATAACTGGACGGAACAGATGGTGCTGTAGAAAATCGATCGTTTGGGGGCTCTGAGATTTTGGCTGGACCAGCGACACTAGTGTCTTGAAAGGGGGGTACTGCTTCTCAATAGTGGGTTCCACAAACGGCACTTCGGATATCGGTTCAATGGGATCGGAAACAGCTGAATCCGCGGCCTCCGCTCCTTCGGAAGCCTCCACAAGTATGTGGGGAAAGTGTTCGAGAGACAAGTTGGGAACCAGCGTATGAGTGGAAGGCAGGTCTCCTGTGCTCCAGTGCGATTGTCCTAAAGACAGCGATGAAGTGCTCCAATCGAGGATCAGCGAACTTGGATTGGTGCCAACTGCCACGTCGACCATCTGTGGTCGCTCTGTCTCAGGAAACCTCAATCCCGTCTGGTTACTTCCATTCTGGTCTTCCTCTGAAGGCGCTGTTCTGCTGGGCAAGCTGGTGAAAGGACGAAGCTTGAAGGACGATGGCTTTAAGGACCCAGACACTCACCTCCGCCTGCGATTCCTGCTCATTTTTCGACTCTGTAGCAGCGTGCTCCTGACATCTTTCACAAATCTCTCTGCGTCTCGAACCCAAGGCTACGTGTCTGGCTGCGATATGAGAAACTCCGGGGCTTCGAGGGATTGGGATTCGAATTCGGCGACTGTCGCCAGACATTAGCTAGTGCTCCTGGCTACCAAATGCTGCCAGGGAAGCGTGACCTCCCTTTGGAAGTTTCCCTGCTGCAACTTCATTCGAATGTCGAATCCCCCCTGCCGCCCTTCTGTTTATTTTGGGGGGGAAAATTGCATCAGTGCAATTTCATTGATTGCAAGTAAATGAAATCATTCCGTAGTCGTCTGAGTTGTAGAGTTGGCTAAAGTGCATCTCGGCTTTAAGGGCGGTAACTTCATTGGCAGTCACTCAAAGGCAACAAAAGCCGAAGCTTTTCCCCCAGTTGATTAAATGGAAAGTGATGCGCGGCCAGCTGTTGAGTTTATGAAAGTTGAACTTAGCCAGCCCCAAACGAAATAACAAACGAAATGCACTAATTAATTTGTGTAAAGCCAACTTTCGACCTCATCCACTTGAGCTTTTCCCCCACAGCTGGATTTTCCCTTTCCCCCTTTTTTTTTTGTTTGCCGCCATTGCAGCAGCTATTTTTTGCCGGCCAACAACTCTATGCGGAAATTGTTTTTTTCGAAAAACACAAAAAAAGGTGTACCCGTACGTGCTCGTTTTTTATGGCCCACGTTGCCTTTCCTATTTCTCTTGCTTTTTTTCCCCTGAGCGCCTTGAAATCGAAACGGCCAAAAGATTGCGCTGCCAAATTGTTAACAGCAATTGACCCAATTTTATGGGGGGCCCTCATGCATGGCCACTCTGGCGAGGCAGTGACTCCAATGAAAATATCGGCGTAAAAGCGAAAACTGCCCCGGGTACAGCGCGGCGTATACTTATTCTAGTGGATTTCTGTTGTTTTTTCGGCATTTTTTTTCGTTCTTTGTGGGGCTTTGTCGTTTGGCTGACTGCGCTCTGTTTGCATTTAACTTGCACAACAAGCTGGGCCAGAAATTCGCCAAGTGAAGGTTGCGATGTCTATTTTTTCTTTATTATTGTTTCCCCGGCAAATCAAGGCAGCTGGACATCGCTGGCATCGAATGTATTCTGTTCGCAATTAAACTGCAGGATAAACAAGGAAAAGCCATTTGGGCCGTGGCCCGGAAAGAGTTTCTGAATAAAAGGCACTCACATATCGGGAATCTGAAATTTGTAGCCCATCAAGAGGGCCTTGAGTTAAGTTTCCCTTCACCTTTTGAAGCCTCAGCTGGTTGAGACTCAGATCAAAGTAAAACGTTCGCCAGGAACGACCTAAAATTTCGTTTCTCCCAAAAACTGCCGTTTCAGTGCCGGTCTCCAAATCCAAAACCTCCGTTTAGTAATGTTTCTGGCTAAAAATTCCACCTCGCTAAGTCCACAGATCCTCAAAGAGGCCGGGGGTCTAGTATTAAAGGGCTTCCTTAACCATCGACTGGCCCACACGGATGGCAACGGCAGGTGCGCCAAGAAGAAGAAGAAGGAGCGGAAGTGCGAGAAGTATGTGCCCAGCAATTCCCTGAAGCCCGAATGCCTGCCGGTGGAGGCCCAGAAGCCCAAGTACTACAAGCAGCTCAATCCCTGCAAGACGGACAAGGAGCTGGCGGTGCAGCATCCCAAGTACTTGGGCGTCTGGGGTCGCTGCAACATCCCCTACAAGCCGGAGCCCCTCTGCCAGGATCCCTGCGATCTGGTCGAGCGGCTGGACGACAAGTTCTACAAGCCCAGCAAGTCGCTGGACCGCGAGTTCGATCAGTACTGGGTGGAGTGCTTCTTCCGCAAGCAGAAGCGCTGCTGCAAGAAGGTCGCTCCCGAGCGAACCTACCGCGTGGAGGGCAAGAAGTGCGGTGCCAAGCCGAAGGCGAAGCAGTGCTTCATGGTCAATCCCATGCCGTGCAAGCAGGAGGCCAAGGAGGGACCCTGCCCCAAGTTCTCGCTCTGCGACTGTCCCCCGCCCGCCGCCGTGACCACCTGCCGCATTGCTCCGCGCCGGAAGAGATGCCGCCGCAGGGCGTGTCAGTATCCCAGCTTCTCGGAGTGCCAGCACGAGGAGCTCAACACCACCAGACCCATCGAGTGCCGCTGCCTGGAGGTGCCTCCTCTGTGCCTGGTCTATCGATATGGCCTCCTCGACCGGCGACTTCCCTGCGATCCCCCAGAGAGACGCGATGACTGCGAATAGTGGACATGTTTGATACGGAAGAAGTTTGGATTCGGCGACCCTCGTTTGGTGCTACAATTCAGGGCAGATAAATTACCAGTCCATTTTGGAGAGTCTCGAAATTTTAGTGAAATAAATTTGAACGTATGATCACTTTAGAAAAATGTCGCACATATTGCTTTGATTATTTTGGTCCAAAATTTTTTGGGAAGATAAGGGTTTTTAAATGCGAATGTAGATTACTGTGGATTGCAGTTCACTTAGCGACGAATCGCAGCGAAAGATATCGCGAAAAAATACTTTAAAATTTCAAATACTTGAACAAAACTTAAACTTAAGAACTTGGGACATATATTTAATGTCTTCAGAGATGAGAGACTTCAACTTACTTTTTTGGTTTTATGATAAAGTCCAAGGACTAAAGATTGACAATCTCAGATATTTAACTTTTTATCAAAAATCTTACTTATTAAGATTTTTAAAATAAAAATTATTAATGAATTTTTAAAAATAAAAAGTTTTTATTGTAGAATGAAAAAGACTTTCAAAACTGCGATTAATAATTGAGATAGCATATTTCCATCTTTCTAATGTTCGCGGCACTTGACTATCGCGTTCCCTGTTTTACTTTTCCTCTGGGTGCACATGGTCGCAAAAATAAAGCATATTAAACAGTTTAAAATTATTTTTGTACCATAAAATTTCACGATAAAATTTTTCTTTTATTTATTTTTTTTTATTTTTGGCTTTGTTACGATTGTCGGGGCAGAATGATACAACAGTTTAAAAATAAAAGACTTGTATGATTAAGAGCGAAGCGGATTAGTAATTTTCTGGATGTTGTTGAAGAAGGTTGTTTTAGAAAGCTGTTCCTTGATGAGCGCAAAACATAAAAGAACACCGACTTTGCAGGCGACAAAAATGGAATTAATCCATATCGATCCGCAGTCCCAGCTGATCGCAGCCTTTGCGAAGCCAGATATCAGGCAGTTTGTCGCCGCCCTGAAAAGCGGTGCCAGAGCTGATATGCATTACAGGCGTCAGATAAACATATACGAGAAGGCACTATCCACACCAGGCTGTCGGGAGTTCATTGAGGCCTGCATCGATAACGGCTGCCAGGTGAATTATGTAAGTAGTGCATACAAGAGGTGATGTCAATGGCGATCCCCAGCAGAGATGTATCTTTCCCCTTCCCAGTATAACAAGGCAGTGAACATGGCCGCCGTCCACTTTGCCGCAAACTCAATGGATCCAGGAAACCTAGCGGGGCTCCTGCTCGACCGTTCAGGAGAAAAGGTCCAGGTGGATAGCAAGTGCGGATATGGTACGCCACTAAGCTTGCTGGCCACCAAACTCACAGAGGATAACGCAGTGGCGGTGCTATCTTGCATGCAGCTTCTGCTGGAACACGGCGCTTCTCCGAACTCCGTCGACCAGCGTAATGTGACCCCTTTGCACGAAGTACTTCGTTGCAGTGTGAAAACCAAGAGGCTGGAGCTAGTGCAGCTTCTAGTTGGCCACCCGGACACAGATATCGATAGCTACCACGTAGGCAAGGTGCGCCGACTACTGCAGGCAGAGTTTCCGCAGCTGCCACTGCCGAAAAGGCTTGAAACCGTATCACAGATCGATATCAAGACCCTCCAACTGGCGCTGGAGGATGGAGATGATGACCTGTTTGAGCAGCATTTCGCTGCATACAAGACCGCGGCGGCCCATCAAGAGATGGCGTATGAGGAGGAGTACTATAGTCTGCTGAGTGATTGTATCCATTGGGGCAGGCAGAGACCTTTCAAAGCTGTCCTGGCCACAGGCATCGATATTAACAAAGAGTCCAGATTGGAGGATCTCGTCCACCTGGCCGTATGCAGGGGCAACTGGTGGGCGCTGCAGCGGCTGCCACTGGAGCCGAACCTACGGATTAGTTCATCCTCCAAGCTACTAAACCTGGCCATAGACCGCCTAGAGGAACCTCCCTTGAATGGCTTCAACCATCAGCGCTGCTTTTCGATCCTATTAAACTGCGATCGCGTGAGCGTAAACAGGAATAATCTAGTAGATCAGGTGCCGCTTGCGTATGCGGCCAAATTGCGAAATACTCTGGCGATGCATAAACTCTTGGAGCATGGCGCCTACATTGGCACTCAAGGGTCACAGGGATCAGCGGCCATCAATGACATGCCGCCCGAGGTGCTCGAGGAGCACTTTGACTCCTGCATCATTTCAAATGGCTGTTTGCGTAGTGAGAATGACTTTGGGATCACCATCGATCACAAAAACCTCATACCTTGCGGAGCTCAGGTTCACGATGAAATGTCCGCCATCTCTTTTATAGCCGAGTCGGAGGAGATGCGGCATCTGCTGCACCATCCGGTGATCTTGAGCTTTCTCTTCCTCAAATGGCGGCGTATTTGCGTCGGATACTGTCTGAATTTTATGCTCTATTTACTATTCACCACGTCCATTATCACCCACACTCTCCTTAAATTATACGCGAGCGAACACACGGATCTGGTAATGACATTTAGAATTGGTTCCTGGCTGGGAATTGGCTATCTAATTGTTCGAGAGATTTTTCAGTTAATTGTTGCTGGTACTAGATACTTTCGGTCTCTAACAAACATCATGGAATGGACTCTTATAGCACTATCTATTCTGACCTGCATTCAATTACCTTTTGACGAGGAGACGCAGCGCATCCAGGCCGCCTTTACCATCCTCCTGGCATCCGTAGACTTCTGCCTGCTGGTGGGCTCCCTACCAATACAGACCGTTTCGACGCACATGCTCATGTTGCGCGAGGTTTCGAACAGCTTTGTGAGGAGCTTTTCCCTTTACTCAGTCTTCGTCGTGACCTTCAGTGTGTGCTTCTTTATCCTCTTCGGCAAAGTGGAAAAAAAGGATGTTGATGTCAATAGAGATAGTACCACGCATGCCCCGGAAGAGGATATGCCGGACCTGCAGACCTTCTCGAAACCCATGGTGTCCCTGATCAAAACCATAGTGATGATGACAGGCGAACTGAATGCCGGGGATCTGAAGTTTACTTGCATCTTTACCTACTTTTTCTTCCTGCTTTTCGTTCTCTTCATGACGATCGTGCTATTCAATCTACTGAATGGTCTGGCCGTGAATGATACTCAGGTGAGTGTAGAGTGCTCCCACAATTTTCCGCTCTTATTACCTATATTCTGACCCACAGAATATTAAGCGGCAGGCGGAACTGAACGGCGTAATTTGCCTAGCCTCCCTGGTAAGCCGGTACGAACGGTGGTTCAAGGGCAACAAATTCACGCGAAGCTTCTGCCAGAAGTTAGGGGTCTATCCCAAGTACGAGATCCCCCGCGGTGTTGTTATTCGGCCCAACGATGGCAACAAGGTGCTCACATACGCCATCAATTCGGGGCATATAAAGCGCCTGGAAGCCCTGCCCTTTCGTTTATCCTTCCTCGAACGTTACTCACCGATGCCTGGCCAGATGGTCAAGATGGCATTGAGGGTGATGGATAGTGCAGAACAAAGGCAAAAACTGAAGCAGATCAAGGAGAGTCGGCAGAAACTCATTGAGGACAAGCTGGCGGATATGGCTAAAATGCTCCAGGAGCTCCAGGAGAGGAAATGATGGCTATAAATAGTATAAAGTATATATCTTTTGATCAGGATCTCTTGGCGAATCGATCACCCGTCTGTCCGTCCGTATGAACGCTGAGATCTCAAAATCAAGCAGAAGGGTTGGAACTGTGCAAATGCTAGGGGTTCCTAACTCCCATTCTTCCAAGTTTTTTGATTTGTCAATACCTAATTTTCAAATAAGACCACTCATTAAAAAGTTATGATCAAAAAGTGATATGAGCAAATAATCTATATTAATAAAACCCAAAACAATAGACAATAGGCCTAATTTTCCATAGTCGAAATAGTCGGCACATAGTTGGAATATGCTTCCAAGTAGGCTTTGCCACGAAACTTCAGAGTTCGTAGGCACTTTCCCCTGACTTCCGGCTCATTCACTAGCCTTAGTCCGAGTGGTGAGCACGTGGAACGCGTCTGCCTCGTAGAATCCAGGCTTCCGTTTTGGTTTCCGTTCAAAATTCCAGTTTAAATTCAGTACCGAGAAATGGGGGTGTTGCAGAACGTCCAGCGGTCGCTGCTCATGCAGCACAGTGTGGGATCGCTGACCTTCAAGCGGATGTACGACGTCCAGAAGATGGCGGTACGTCGCAGGCGTTTGGAAATCATGAAGAATAAGAGGAAGGACAATGCTGCCCCCTGCTACATGGCCATTCGTCGCTCCGAGAACCGCTGCAACCAGCCGCGTCTCAAGTTGCCGCGGCCCGAGTGCATGGACGACCCCTGTGGCGACATGGAGCTGCCCATGGACCTGGATCACTACACGCCGAGCGACAAGGCGAAGCGCAAGTACCAGCGAACCTGGTGCGAGTGCTACCTGATTCCCAAGGCGGCCGTGAAGGCCAAGAAGAAGTATCCGAATAGGCCGCGCCGCAAGTTCGACTGTCCCACGGTGAGCCAAGTGGAGTGCCGCGACGAGGACATGAATCCTCCGGCCCAGGGACGCATTAAGCCGGAGAAACTGATCGAAGTGCCGCGCATTGGGGAGTGGCCCTGCTGCAAGATTCCCTCGCCAGGCTGTCCGGAGGCCAGGAAGCCACCCTCCTGCGATGTGGGCCGCATCCCATCCTGCTGCAAGAAGCGACGCACCCAATATCCGAGCTTCTCGGAGTGCAAGAAGGAGCTGCTCGACCCCATCATGCCGTGCGAGTGCGAGAAGAAGGTCAACCTGTGCGACGTCTGGGCCTACTGGCGCCGGAAGAACCACTAAGCCCCCGAGGATCCCCTCGAAAAACCATGGAAATCAAGGCGGAATGAGAACTACATCTGGATCGAGATGCCCCAAATCAGCCAGTGAGAAGTATGCGTAAACAAAGTGGATCGCATGTATTATCGTTTATACTTTGTTTATGGGTTCCCTTATAAAGTACTGATCCTCCAGCATCACTCAGCACTAAACTAAAGGCTTTATTTTACTTTTGCCGAGCTTGATTTTATCAAAGCCGATTTATACAAATTTTAAGTTGAAATTATACTTTTAAATATGTTTAAAAAAGGATCTGGTGCTTTTCTAAATTAAGTTATCTCTATATAATATTTTTAAATTTTTTTTTTGTTAGGATCTTATCTAAGTTGTGAGGTTTGAAAAAAGGTCTTTTGATGATTTCCAATTTGAATTTTCTAATATTTATAGAATATTGAAAGTCTGTTGCAATTCTATTTTATTCCCTTTTACAATTTAGATTTTACTTAAAAACATCTGTTGATGTTAGACACATTCACATTTTATTTTTATTGATCAGACTTCAGCTTCACTATGGCTCTTTGAGACTTCCAAGGGTTCGCACTGAATGCGACTTTCAGGAATGCTTGATGGTTAATTCTTGGCAGTCAGCGAGGTCCTTTTGCTGTACTATTTTTTCCAGTTCCTCCTCCTGCTCCTCCTCCGCCGGCAGCTCTTTAGTTGGAGTGCTCTCCTGTGCAATTCCTAAAAGGGATTTGCATGCCGCTGAGATGTTTATCGCAAATTGTTGCCGTCGTCTGCGTCGTGGAGGATGTTGTGACGTCGTCTGGCGGCGCACAAATGTCAACAGCACAAAGCTCTGACGTTTACATTGAAAGTCACTTTGGGCGCCAGGCAGCCAAACAGACAAACAGAGGGATCCTGGGGGCCAAAAGAGAGCGATGGCTAATGAAAAGCGCCAACAAAATCCAATGCATTTTTATTTAAATGCAAATGTTTAGCCTGCCAGCAAGTGTTTAATTGCGGAGCCCGGCATTGACAAGGAGGATTCCTGAAAGGACCAAAAGCTGAGTGCCGAGCAGTTGGGGCTGTGAAATGGAGCCCAGAATGTGCCAAACATTCGTACTCGCTGTTGTTTGGCCGAAAGTATGCCCCCGAGTGACATTTCGCACAAATGAAATGTATGGCTGAAAAGTTGTCTGTTTCTGTGCCCGAACAAATAATTTTATTATAAAAGTTGCTCCTGCCTCTATTTGTGTGGCTTTTCGTGAGTAATAGACACCATGTTTTTGTGGCTATTTTTTTAAAGCAAATATTTTATATCCTAATGTTGATCTTACATTTTTAATATTTTTTTTTATTTGGTATTTCTTATTTTAAGGCCTAGTACTCACTTCAATCAAAAAAGGCAACGAAACGAAAATTTTTATACAAAAATGATTGAAGTGAGTACTAGGCCTAAAATAAAAAAAAATTGTAGGCTCAGATGGGTACAATTAGTTTTCGATAAAATGTTTTCCTTCAAAATATTTTATTTTTGTTGAGAATAGGAAAAACTCTCAGGCTTCGGCAATTCGTCTATAGTCGTGTATGGAGAGGAGACAGCGTCTGGAGGGTCAGGACTTATGGCTAACTGGTCAGTTTTAAATTTGACAATATTTGTCGTCTCCTTGGAATGTAAAAATATTCTTTGAGGAACTGTGCTAGAAGAGGATATTTCTTCAGGGGGATCCGGACTTCGGGGAAACTCAACATTTCGGAGACTCAACTTGGCCATCACATCGGGATCGAATATGGGTGGCAGGCTTATCTTGATTTCTGCAATTTTCTTTCGTTTCCATTTTTGAAATAAAACATAAATCAGCACGAGCAGTGCGATTACGATTAAGCACGTAATAAGAATACCAATGAGGCCAAAGGAGTTTGACTCTGTTATTACAGGGTCCATTGTGGGTTCAACATACCACTTCATGCCACCGCCGAGAATACCCTTGTAGATCGCTGATACGGCCATATTTAAAGAACCCTTCGGCTCTTTGAACAGATGCGACCTTTCATCTTTTGAATTCAAAAAAAACTTTAACTGCTCATGGTTTTTGCAAAATTCGATACTGTTCCGAAGGGAGGGGCACCAGTAAATATAAAAGCCGGTCAACATGTCCTCTTCCTCTGGAGGATCCCAAGTCAGGGTGTTGTTTTCGAAATGGTACCGCAGGTTACGCGGCTGACGAGTATGATTCGTTAGACTGGGCACTTTCAGCTTACTGCTTTCCGCGAAAATACCAATTAAATCTCTTCTCCAAAGGGACACGGTGGCCTGCTGAGTGAAATTCCAGTCATTAAAGACGGCAAATCTTTTGGCTGTTATCTGTGGCTGCTCTCTGAAAGACGAAAAGTAAAATACATTTTCATAATTTGAATTAATTACAAAAAAATTTACCCCGAATTTGTTAGTACGATATATGTTGAGTTGGGTTCGTAAAAAAACATTTCGTCTTTATGCTCCCAGAAAACGTAAAGCTCTTTTTTTTTCGAATCGTAATGAAATCCGTGCGGCAAAAAAGTAGGCGGCTTAAACTTGAAGTCTAGAACATAATAAGTACTTAACCAGGGCGCATAGCGGCAGTTAAATCGCACCTTTAGTTTAACTTTATAAATGTCATAGTGAGAGGGCACGAACACGAAGCACACATCTTTCGGCTCTTCGAAGCCAGCTTTTAAGTAGCTAATTATTTTGAGAAAAGTATTGCTGCTCCGATCCTGTGAAGTCACAAACACAGTCCATTCGTATGAAATAGATTTGTTAAACGCACTCGAGGAAAAATCCACGCAAATTACGTCACCCGACCGCTCAATCTGGGGCTGATTAGTAGGCCAATACGGCACTTTCATTTGGTCGTCAGTCAATTGAACAACTAGTTTCCTTAATATACCTAAGGAGTTGTCCTCGACCGTGAAGTTATGACTAGATCCTCGAAAATGATGTGGATACGGTGGTTTGCATGTAGTTATACCGTGTTCCTCAAGCTCGCAGTCTTCAATAATTGTATTATCCATGGTAACATTTAGTTTAGAACCAGGAATTACTTCAAAGTCCATGTAGACGCAGTGCAGATCAGTCTTGATATCAGAATATGTACATTTAAAGAATTCCACTCGCAGGAAGCTGGAGGGGGTGATGGTGGCTTTGGTTGAGCCATTATCCGGCCAAATGCAGCGTAGTTCCAGTTTATCTTGTGCATAAATAACCATTCTGCTACAAATGGTGAACTCGTCGACGAACTCTGTTTCCAACGTAATGTTCTCCAACTTTAGCTGAATATCCCACGGTTTTGAAGTGGAGTCGTTGAAAAAACAGCACACAGAGTAGTTCGATTGGTTAAGCAATCCGTCTGTTATGATATGTAAATTTCGGTGAAGTTGGACAATCGACCAACAACTGGCCACCGCCGCCACTAGTAAATACGTCTGCCAGCTCATGTCGACTTCGGCACAATGATTCAGTAAAGAAATTCATTTCGGTTAAGTGCTACTTATCGCTATGCTCAATCTGTCATATACCCGTATTCGATCCCAAAAATAGGAATTTTAACACTGATATCATAATGCTAGAAATGGAAGCATATACACAAATCTCCTGTTATATCTTGGTTTTGGTTGGTTGAAGCTGTATAGTGGAAATGAGCAATACTTTAAAAATATCACTATGGACGGCAGTCCATGTAGTGACGAAGCGCACCAGGAGAGTGTGCGAAGGCGACTACTATATATACACGAAGAAATGAAAATCTACTGTGATGGTCCGATCATAATGAATGATACACCTATCGAAAGGTATTGCGAAAACTAACAGGATTGCATACCAAGACTTTAAGAAAATCAATTGGATTGGGAGAGAGAGCGGTGAAAGTGAAAAAGTGAAAATTTCGAAATTTGGAGCTGTTGGGGCCGGTGGGGATAAATGCCCCTCGCAATGTTTTGGTTGTATTCCTTTTGAAAGTTATAGCCAAAATAAGATTTTCTTCTTCTTCCCAAAATGAAAATTTAATTCTGTTTGTCAGTTTGTCCACTTGTTCAAAACATGTTTTTTAAGTTCTGAAAATTTGATATGACGTTCATCACATCGATATAAAAAACTTTTGTTTTACCACTTTTGGAAAAACCCGCTAGTTTAGCGGGAAAACAGCTATAAATAGATAAAATTCGGCACGCTGCAATAGAAAATGCTGTTTCTACGCAAACTAGTGTCTCAGTTTTTGAGCTATCGGGATAAAACTTTCCCAAAAGTCTTTTTTCTATTGCAGGTAGTATATAAGTCGGAACCAACCGGATCGGACAACTATGTCTTATAGCTCCCATAGGAAGGATCAAAAAAAAAAAATTTTACATTCTACTCTTGGGAATATTTTTTTTTATATATTTCTGAATTTCGGCATTTTTGTTTTTTAAATCGGATCACTATATCATATAGCTGCTATAGGAACGGTCGAAAAATTTATTGGAAATTAATGGGATAAAAATTATATCTTTGTTGGTTTTTATTACATTTCCTTCTACTCTGGGATATGACTATTTTGAAATATTTCCGAATTTCGATTTTAATTTTTAAAAGATCGAACTACTATATCATATAGCTGTGATAGAAACGATCGAAAAATTAATGTGAAATAATAAGAAATTTAACATTTTTGCGATTTGTAAATTAATAGAATGATCTGCAAGGGTATATAAGCTTCGGCTTGCCGAAGCTAGCTTCCTTTCCTATTTTGTAATGCACCCACCCAATGTTAAAAATCAAAATATATACATAAAACTAAGAATGTGGATGGCAGGGGCGTAGCCAAGGGGAGTTTTGGGGTGTTACTTTTATGTTTCATCTTCGTTTTGGTTGTTTAAAGCTGTAGTATAAAACCGCATGAAAACTTGGGGATAAAATGGTTTTGCATTAGATTAAAAGCAAAAGCTCAAATATTTATTCTCAAAAATATATTTCTATATAAAACGCTGTGAATTCTTTTTATACCCTTGCAGAGGGTATTATAATTTTGGTCAGAAGTTTGTAACGCAGTGAAGGAGACGTTTCCGACCCCATAAAGTATATATATTCTTGATCAGGATCAATAGGGGAGTCGATATAGCCATGTCCGTCTGTCCGTCTGTATGTCTGTTTCAATACCGTTTGCGAGCTCATTTTAAAAGCTAGCGCCTTGAAACT